CCCTGTTTTGAATGGCAGGACGTCACTGGTGGTCCTCTCCTCAGGATGGTTTAATGTGCTTTTGTGGAAAATATCTCAGGCTGTCATTAAATGTCAGTGCCCGGTCATGACACTGCATGTATAGTGACCGTTATTGCTAGTGACAGTATTATTGTAGTTGATAATCTCATGGATGTCCACCACAAATTTTCTTCCAGACATTATCTGAATCATCCCACTGTGATCAAGAAGAACCAGAGATACTGCAGCTACAGGAGCGGGCCAGCCGTTTACTGCAGAGGAGGTGAGACATACTGTAAACCCACACTCACTCAAGGGGGGAAATGTCATTTCACAATGATAAATGACCACCAGCATAGTCAGCTTCCTGACTGAAAGTGTGAAAGTTTATACGGGAGTTTCACAATCAAACCAGATTTATTACTTTTATTCAGCAAGGACACATTAAATTGATCAAAAGTTACAGTAATGACATTTATAATGTTAAAAAATATATATATTTAAAATCAAATGCTGTATCGCACTTTCCACAAAAATTGAGCTGCACAACTGTTTTCAACATTGATAAAAAATATATATATATTGAGCAGCAAATCTACATATTAGAATGATTTCTGAAGGATCATGTGACACTGAAGACTGGAGTAATGACACTCCTTTGTGTTAACTAAAAATAAATGTTAGGAGGAATTTAAATCACTTTATAGCAGGGTTAAATTCCTGATTGTTTAATAAAGGTTCCTAGGTGTTGATGAATTTTCTTTAACTTCATGTTTGTTATTGCATTATGACTGCACATTCCACCTTGGGATTTCACTTTAGACTCATTAGGTTTTGAACAGTTTAGATGATCTTTATGTGTTTTCAGTGAGCATTCACTCAGCAGTGGCTCTGTGCCTTTCAGTTCTGGGGGTCTGGGCTGCTCTGATTTCTCTTCCCCCGTAAGCACTGATGAGCCGGTCCGAAGACCAGTCGTGTCCACCTTAATGGGCTCAACCAACAGTAAGTAACAGGTGTAACACATAAATGAGTGTACACATTTAGTGTACATTTGTAACACACACACACACTATTTATTGTTTCCTGAACATCTTTGTGTTTCCGATTTCACAAACACACCCTTATCAGATTAAAATGTACCCACACCCCTAACCACAAATGTGGTAAAAGCAGAAATGGTTGTGTAAACATTCTCCGTTAATTAAAAACAAACAGAAAAGGAGATACATGCCATTTTGGACTGCTAGGTATTTATTAGTGCAATAAAAGTGCATTAGAGCATTTTGATTGTTTGTTTTTGTGTCTTTAAGTGGTTCTAGAGCCCGGTATGTGCGAGGGAACGTCTTTTCCTCCTCTTGCGGTTGGTTCTGAGGGGTCAGGTATCCGTCGTGAAGATGACATCCTGTTTCAGTGGCGACTAAGAAGGAAGATGGAACAGGCCAGACAATGGTGTCAGGAGGCCCCTTCCCACAATTCTGTTCTCCATATACCTCTATCACACAGTGTCGGACCAAACCAGGTGAACCAACACCACAGTGCACATCAGGGTTATTCCTTTTTGATTCATATGTGCCCAAAAGTTAAATGTTTCAGAATATGTAATATAATATTAAATTATATCCTATAATATAATATAATTTTCAAAAGTTTGGGATCGCTAAGATTTGCTAATGCTTTTGAAAGAATTTATGCTCAGCAAGGCTGCACTTATTTGATCAAAAATTCTGTAAAGCACAGCAGTATAATGAAATATTATTGTAATCTAAAATAACTATTTTCTATTTTAATATGTTTTAAAATCTAATTTATTCCTGTGATGCAAATCTGAATTTTCAGCATCATTACCCCAGCCTTCAGTGTGATCATGATCCTTCAGAAATCATTCTAATATGCTGATTTGATGCTCAAGAACATTTCTTATTATTATCAATGTTAAAAACAGTTGTGCTGTTTAATATTTTTGTGGAAACTGGTACATTTTTAAGAATTATTAGTTAAAAAGTAAAAAAAGAACAGAATTTATTTGAAATAGAATTTTTTTTTAACATTGTAAATGGCTTTACTGTCACTTTTGATACATTTTATGTGTCGTTGCTGAATAAAAGTATTACATTTAATTTTTTTCGTAAAACTTACTGGCCTAATTTGAACTATAATGCAATAAATTCTACAGATGGCATTTTTAATTATTAATATCTTTTGAAAATATTGTGTATGATATTATATCATCTCATTCATACTGAAAATACTTTGTGTTTTTTAAATGACATCCATCAGATGAATTTGTGCCATAATAATATTTCATTGAGTGCACTACCATGACATCAACAATAAAACATGGGAATTGTTTTAAATGTTAAATGGTTATGAGATTAGTTGCATTCTGTATTTTACATATAACATTGTTTTTTCTCCTAAACAGTGACCCACCAGTTTTAAATTTTCACATTTACTTCATGCAAAGAACATTTCTAATTAATACATTCTTCTTTGTTTCCTTTTAGAAGGCACACTATAGCACTTTAAACCGCACACCTCATCAGAGAACAAACCTCTCATTCACACCGTTCACCCTCGCTAGCCTCGATCCTCCAGTTCCTGAGTCTCCTCTCCCTATGTCAAGCCCCAGCATCTCCAGACTCCGGCCCGATGTCACCCACGAGCAACCAGACCCCGATATCCAACCCAAACCCCTTCCCCAGCAGAGACTGTCCTCCAGGAAAGCTGTCACAAAGAATCTGGAAACCCCTTGTGCCCAACCACAACATCGCAAGCCAATCAGAACACAAGTCGGCATCCCAGAGACCACAGCAGATCACCGCAGAACGCAGAGGTCCTCTTCTCCATCTCCACAGACTTCTGATAGCACAGAGGAGCGGTGGCCGGCCCCTCATCGTAAGAAAGACACAACAGGCAAAGAAAAGACTGAAAATGAGAGACAGGAGAAGAAGATTGCACCTTTGCGCCAAAAGAAAAAATCTGAACGGTAATTTATGTTTTGCATTATTGTCCAAATCAGACTTTGACCAAACCATAGACTATAAAAAAAACATGGACGTAGTGTCCGTGACGTCACCCGTAGGTTTCTAAAGAACGTTTTTGAAGCTCAAAGTGGGTGGAGCCGGCCGTCGCCATCTTGGCAGCGCGTCACTCCCGGATAATTGAAAAAGGGCAAAAAGGCAGGAGCTGGTTGCTGAAACCACGCCCACCTAGCTCAACGGTGGTGACAGCAGCGCAAACCACCTGTTACTAGTGTTGCATTCGTCGACGAAAATTATGACTAAATATCATCGTTAACGAACCTTTATCACGTGACAAAAACGAGACGAGACGCAACGTAAATGCTGGTCATGCATTTTAACATGGGGAGTCTATGGGATTGACTCCCTTTTGCAGCCAGCCTCTAGCGGCCAGTTGATGAATTACAGTTTAAGTCACTTCCGTGCTGGTTTCACGAGAGAGAGCGGGAGGTTGCCGCTTGGACCAAACTAAGCAAAACATGACAGATGTTTAATGACAAGTAATTGTAATATTAATTTTTAATGTTGAGCATTTGCACATTCTTTTCTTCATGTCCGTGTAGACATAGTGTCGAGCGAGGGAGCAGTGCAGTGAGGGTCAGGTATGCCAGGGGTCATGAAGGGGTCAGTCGCAAACCTGAGGAGCCGAGTGGAAACAGTAGGTGGCAGGAAGATGGTCAAAGGTCGACACGAGGAGGACGGTCTGGAAATCAAGCACCACCACCCTCACCTATACACAATGCTCTGGGACAGGTTTGTGAGTTTATTTTATGATGCATTGCAAGTTTCTGAAGCTGTTGAACCCTAAGTTAGTAAATTAATTTCATTATTCATTTAAAATGGCACCTATATCGCTTTTATTCAGCAAGGATGCATTAAATCAATGAAAAGTGACAGAAAATACTTTTACATTGTTACAGTTTATTACAAATAAATGCTATTCTTTTGAAGTTCCTGTTCATTAAAGAATCCTGAAAACATGTATAATGATTGCCACAAAATATTAAGCAGCACAAATGTTTCCAACATTGATAATAAGAAGAAATGTTTCTTGAGCAGCAAATCAGCATATTAGAATGATTTCTGAAGGATCATGTGACACTGAAGACTGGAGTTATGATGCTGAAACTTCAGATTTGCATCACAGGGATGAATTACACTCTAAAATATATTCAAATAGAAAACAGGTATTTTAAAATGTAATAATATTTCACAATATTGCTGTTTTCACTGTATCTTTGATCAAATAAGTGCAACCTTGATGAGCGTAAGAGACTTATTTCAAAAACATTAAAACATTTTTTTTACTTGTGATTCATCAGAACAGAAGAAAGTAAATGCTGTCCTTGAAATTGACAGGTTGTCTCTGAGGTGCTTTTTGCTGGTACAGACTCATCAAGCCAGTCCAAGACTCCAAGTTCTTCAGATTCCCCAGTATATACCCCACCTCCACCCCCACAATCCCCTGTGGTCTCTTGTTCCGGTGTGCAGCAACCCTTGGAGGTCATAGGTCAGCTCATGCAGGATGCAGAAGGTAAGAAGGCCTCATGCATTCATTTAAACTAGCTGTAAAACTGCCTGATGATGTGTTTTTAACAGGTCACGTGTTTTAGCCTGAGCCGGTTATAAATAGCAGGATTGACCCTTTAGAGTGTGCTTAGAACAATAGAATGCATGTTACCATTAATATAAGTGACGTGACATGTGGCCAAGTATGGTGACCCATACTCGGAATTAGTGCTCTGCATTTAACCCATCCAAAGTGCGCACACACACAGCAGTGAACACACACACGGAGCAGTGGGCAGCCATTTTTGCTGCGGCGCCCGGGGAGCAGTTGGGGGTTCGGTGCTTTGCTCAAGGGCAGTGTATGCTAAACTGACAGCAAGTGGGAAGAAAATGTGATACAATCTTCTTGGCATTTGAGTTGAGTAGTCCACTGCCACAAGGGGGAGTGAGAGGAAGCCAGTCTGTTTTGGTCTTTACCATTGCCTTATGTGAGAAACCCAGAGGATGGGAATTTTAAGCGCCTTGCATTAACATGTCAAGAACTAAAACCGTGAAGAAGAGCAAAAAAATAAATATCTAAACATGAGTGTGGAGGAAACTGTGTGTGTGTGTGCGCACATCATGGTCTGCTGTGATTTAACAGTCTGGAATTGTCTCCTTGTGTCAGAGGTGCTGAGATTACTAGCATGCCTTCTGTTGATATGGCTGATTCCAGTGCCATGATGTCCACTCCGTTTGGGATCCGGTATCGCCGGTTAAACTGACGTGTCACCAGTCCCGAACCATCCTAGGATTGAACAAGCACATATATCATGCTCTTAAACGTCCGGTCTCAGATGTCCAGTACAAAGTGTTTTATAGCAGGTTTCACATCTGCTAATCCTAATGCACATTAATACAGGAGTCAGCATTAGAAAGAAGAAGCCATTGGGTGTCTTACCTTCTTTTGTTCATGTTTTCCCTCAACCACAACATAATCTCCAACAGCTTTAACCAGCAGGTCCTCGGGACTGAAATGTTTCACATCAACCTGCACAGTAAATCCATTATGATCACAGGTAACCTGTAGAGAAAATGAATTTAATTAATTTTCCAGTACATAATCCATTTCTAACTGCTACAGAGAGAATTTAAGATTTATTAAATTTTTTTTATTGGTCATTATTATTATGTATTTTGTTCTATGCCTAAAATATCATTTTTATTTATTAAGTATTTAATAGATTTTATAGAATTTATTTAGCTTTATATTTTCATGATTACTACTTGTTCTTATGCACTTGCTACTAATTCTTCATATCAAGTCATTATAATTTAATCATTTACATATTAAATTTATAATTACTTTAAAAGGCAGTCAATTTGTTATACTGAAATTCATTTTCCATAGTATGTACATGTACTGTTACCACTGTAAAACTAGATCTAAGAGATTTTTCGTCATTTAGATTAATCAAATATTTTTTTAATTATAAAAAATATTGCATTTTATAGTGACAAGTCACAACAGAGAATTTTTTTAATAAAACGTATTACTCCACCTGTGCTGCTCCGGTGTGCTCGGAAACCGGGATTAAAAGTTCGGTCGGTGTCCATGAATAAGGTCCAGTTGTCCCGGTACACCGGGGGAATAAGGGTGGGAGAACCCTTTCCCATGGGATACCGCTCACCAGGAGAGAAGGAGGCAAGTGGAAGTCCATTCTTCTGGGATGAATGTGTAAAAGTAACCACCAAATAGACCAATATACTGCTTCAGAAAATTCAGAGTGTATGACTAGTTGGTTATTTTGATGAGAGTCTATCCTGTTACGCAACATAAAGCAGGAAAATTGTTGCTCTCCAGGTTAGTAGGAGGTTTAAATAGACTGAAGAAAACACCGCCCCTTTACATGAGCCCTTCCTCTAAACAAATTCCATAAGTAAGTGGACTGATGGTGCTGTCAAGAGATCTGATATACTTAATCATAGAGCACGATGCCAAAAGCATTATCAAGGCTGCATTTGTTGTGCATGGAATGCCAGTGACAGGAGTGGGCTTTAACCCCTCCCTTTATTCCCATAATGAAAGCATCCCCTTATGTAATAATTCAATGAGGAACACGATGGTCCCCATTCAAATGGTCCCAATCCCTGTCACCACCTCGGCTATTTTATATTAAGCAAAGAGTGACTTTCAATAACTGAATGTGCTACTATTCAATGTCAAAAGGTTGTGTGTGTGTGTCATGATTAGGCATCCAGATATAAATAAATTGGAAAAAGTGCAAACCGCTCTGGTCATATTTATCCACATGACACAGCACATGCGGACATTCACAAAATTATATATACTTTTTCCACATTACAATTTACATATACACACACACACACACACACACATACATATATATATATATATATATATATATATATACTGTATATATAATATACATATATATAAATAACAAAACCTCTGCTGTAGATAACACTTTTTTGTGTGAGGTTTTGGTTACCGTATGGTTCCTGACATAGGGACCTAAAGCCCTTGTGAAAATTGCTTCATCTTTGGTTTATTGTCTGCTTTTAGTAAAATAAAACATGCAATTATAGTGTATTTAATATTACGTTTATTCATTAACTAGATCAAGCTCATGCCTGTTTCAGAGCCTGAAATTGTAGTATTTTGCAATATTGAGCAGGCACACCCGCTGCCAGTCATTGGTTTTTTTCTATCTTAGTGTTAATGAGAAATGTGGTTGGTAGGCATTAAGAAATGCATGATGCCATATTTCTATTGGTCTGTCAAGTAGCATGTTTAACGCCATTGCATAACGCAAAACCTAGACCGTAAACACATCTAAATAAAAAGTCATGAGCTAATGATGGAAAAGGCCTTATAGAGCATGAGAGATGTCTTCCAGTAAGAAGGTGACAAATCTACACATTTTGACATGTCTGTTTGAAAGTTTTAAATCAGTGAAATGTCCTGTCAAAGGAATGATGGGATTCATAATGACATTTTTATAGCACACGAAGCACATTGTCCTACTGCTGACGTCCAACAGCAGAATAACTTCTAAAGAATCAGCTGTCTAGCGACCACACGTGGCTTACGACTCAAAAAATACAGGTCCTGGCCCTTGGATTTAAAACATGACCAATGGATTGGCAGAACTGCAAGTCATTGGGGCTGAGGATAACATGTCCTTCTGCTGTTGCCATCCGCTGGTAAGCAGAACTTTCTGTCTGTGAGCCGGCTATAGGCGACTAAAAACAGCACCCATGAAGATCCACGATGGGCTTAGCGTGAGCTCAAAATTTGGATCGAATTTCATAATAGGCGCCTGTAAGGGGTTACACGTAGGACAGAGGCTTCGTGCGTCGATATTATAGAGTCTGGTATGCAGCGGGTTTAAAATGATTGCAGGCTGTTGGTTAGTAAGCAAGAGAACAAGGGAACTCGTCAATCGAGGATTTTTCTAGAACCCTGTTGGCTTTTAGATGCTTTTGTTTTGTTGCTTTTTTATGTGGGTGGATGACAAATACGCAACACTCTTAGGTTAAAAATATACTAAGCACTTTTAGCTTAGCTTTGCCTAGATCATTGAATCTGATTAGACTGTTAGCATCTCGCTCAAAAATGACCAAAGAGTTTCAGCAGGCGCAATGATATTACGCAGCGCCTGAAAATATTCCCAGCTAGGTAACTTCCATTAAGCCTATTTTCAGGCGCTGCGTAATATCATTGCGCCTGCTGCACCCATGGTATGGCAGCAAAATTCCTTGATTATTACGCCGGAATGAGAGTATAGTTCCTAGCCATATCAGCCTAGAAAATCACAACTTTTCATTTTCCGTTGGTCTTAGTACATGATGTAACTACATAAGAGTCAAGTTTTAAATAGGAAAAATATAGAAACTCTTTGGTCATTTTTGAGCGAGATGCTAACGGTCTAATCAGATTCAATGATCTATGCTAAGCTAAGCTAAAAGTGCTACCGCCTGAATGGATTCGGAAACAGTAAAACTCAACTGTTTAACTCTAGGGGAGTTGGAAAATGAGCCTATTTTCACAAGTAGTGGAGTGTTCCTTTAATCCACCCCATACCTAAACTTAACAACTACCTTACTATTAATAAGCAGCAAATTAGGAGTTTATTGAGAGAAAACTCTTAACAGTGAATGTGTTCCCCATTCTGAAGTGTTACCACATTCATCTTTTTAAATGATTTCTTTTACTTTTTATTTTATATTATATAAAATACTTATATTAAAATAGTTCATTTTAACATATTTTGTTTGTTAATGCCAACAAGTCTCCATTGGACTAAATAAATACAAATATTTTTTTTAAGAGATAAAACTTTCCCTCTTCTTCTTAACTTGAAATAGCCTTGAAAATAACTTTTTTGTATTTAATATATTAATATTGTATTCAAATAGTTCATTCCCATATGTTTCTGTATTTCACGGTTCATGATGACGACAATGGCAATGCAGAGTATTTTCAGATTTTATTTGAAATTGTGCAAAACACAATTCTATATTTATGGACAAAATATGTGGTTTTTACTGTCCATCAAAATGATTAAAATATAGCAGAAAAAAAAATGAATGGCCTTTTTCTTTGAGAACAATAATATTACATGTCATATCAACTGCCAAAATACAGTTCAAAGACTTTATTTTGGATGGACCTGACTGGTCCGGAGATTATTTTTGTCATACATTCTTTTCAATGCATTGACAGAGGTCAGTGTTACTAATATGAATGTGTGATCTCAAATATAATAGGAAGTAGTAGTAGTGCTGGAAATGAACTCTTACTCTTTAGCACGGTGCATCCGTGTCCATATTATCTCACTCAATCGACAAACGATTTCATCAGTTCACAAATTACCACAACTCCCAGACAGATCCAGTTTATCTTCTATGCGACGATAGTGGTAAAATTAGCCAAGGAGCATCTTGTCGATGGGAGGAGAAAAACAGAGAGAGAGAGAGAAATAAAACAGGTATTGTGAAGCAGCAGATCTGATCAGGCTGTGCCGAGGGGAATGGTGAAGGAGAGGTAATCTCCCACCTCACCCCACCGTGCTCTGAAATGCTGGAATATGGTGATCCACGTCGTCAGCACGGCCACCCACAGTATGAGCCCCATAGCTGACTTCTTTATGTCTGTGGAGGCCAGAAGAAACAGTATACATTACATCCTAGACGTCATGCACTGAAACTCATAAAGTCTACTGTATCATATTAGATATGCAAATGTATAAGTTATGAGCATGATAACATCTTGAAAGCTGAAAAACCTGTTGTACACAGTCTACTAGATGCCTACAGTTGTCTGATTGATAGTTTATACTTCTTTAGCGAGTCAAAGGCCTTTTAGTATAATTCTAAAAATGTCCACTGTCAGCTTGTGTCAAGGTTACATGATTATCCATGCATTATTTCTTAGTAAAATCAATAAAAACTTCCAGATTTGATGATAAAAATAAACATTTAAATATCATCTTACTAAGACATATTACTGGAAGACATAGAATGATATTTATATTCATTTAATGTACGTAGTCTGCAATACTGTTATAAAGATCGCATTCACAAGCTATGAGAATTTCACCTTACTTTTTGGCCACATAAATATCAGCAACTGCTCCAAACTGCATTTTTCTTTTTGACTCGGTTTTAGCCTGTGAATAAAATCGAGGTGTTTTTTTTCCTAGTCAAGTGTGAGCTCCATATTCTCACTTGATTATACTATATGCTCCACAAAAGCCTGATGTGTCAAATCATCATGCTTTTTTTTTTCCATCTAAAAGATTCAATAACTTTGCATTTATTTAAAAATATACATTTTTCGACTATTATTTCATATGACTGGCTTTACAGGGTTAACTAACTAGAAAGCACAAATACAATATATAATCTGTGTAATGCATTGCAAAACATCCATAGATGCCAACTATTAATCTTAGTTTGCATATTAGGAATTATAATTTATAGCAGAATAATGGTACTTATTGTTTTGGCGTTTTAATGATGATTTTCTTCTTCATAATTCTTTTTTTCACGACTTCATAAACCTTACAACTTAAATATAGCATTGTTTTTAATACAGCTGACTGATAAACACACGGAAGTGTTTCTTGCCCATAAAAGTCTCATGAGCCACACTTTAGTTTACACAAAAGCGGCTCAAGAATTCCAGCGAGGGAACAGCATCTATCGGCCTGTTTGGAGCTGCTATGTAAATATCCTCTGAACATTTGTGCATATTAAATGGCAATGAAGACTTTATTATCTGAATACTGGCGTACGATGACTCTGAATTAAGTCTGTGTAGGCAGATTCTTTTAACATTTTAAACCAGATTGTGGGAAGAGTTGCAAGGAAGAATATCACCCACAGAAATGTGGTAAAACACACACTGTGAGTCCTTACATGTATTCCGTCACATACTCACATGATTTAATCTGTGGCTGTTCTGTGTATGCAGGTTTTAAAAAGGCCTCTTTGAAAAACCACAGCACATTTACCAGCCAGAGAAAGGGGAGGAATGCAAAGCCACCTGAGGAACAAATCAGCACAATGAAAACAACAATACATGTACAGAAAACACATCGCAGGGTGTCATGATATGTCATTGTCACAACATACCTAAATAGTATCTCCTGCAGAGGCTAAGCTTCTCTTCATTGGGCATCCGTTCGAGGTTCATTGTGGAGTTTCCTATAAAGAAAAGCCTTGATGAATCCATCCACAGGTATCCAACTGAACTGATCAATATGCTGCAACATTGCTGCCATCTGCCTACACAAAACAGTACTGCCATAATACATGATTGCTAACGTTACATAGGAAATTGGGATTATTAATCATGCATTAAAACCGCCATCACAGCTTAGTCACATAATCAAATCATCTAGTCAGAAATAAAACGATACCACTGCTTCAAAATCAGTGTAAATGATTGGAGCAATAAGATGAAAATCCTTCTAATCAACCCCTCAGTCAAAACAACATTACTGGACTGCGAGCGAACAATAACTGGTCGCATACGGCAGACCGTCTGCTCTAAAAACCTTACACGGATTGTTTGTTGTAGTAAAGGAAGGTGGATACCTTGTAAGCCGAGCTCAGAGGAGAAAACGGAGGGTTTAAGACAACAAAGGCGAGGGAGAAACAACTTTTATGGTTCCGCTTCCTGACGAAAACTAAGGCGTGACGTCACTGCACGGCGGTGCATGATGGGTAATGGAGTTTTCAGGGACAGGCGTTAAGAACGTGAGACCGGTGTTCGTCATGGGTCCCTTTTAACCCTTTGGTCTAATAGCGTAATGGGCGAATGTCACAAAAAAAAAACAGTTTTACTCCAAATTCTAAATAAACAAATAAAGCTATTATTTACATTACAGTTCACCACAAATTATATTTTTTTATTTTATTTTGTATTTATTTTATTTTTTTTATTATGTCTATATAGGTTTTTTTTATTATTAAGTTTTAGTTTTATTTAATTTGAGTTATTTCAGTACTTCAACATACAAAATGGAAATGAAATGATATATATTGAATGTATTTATATATATGTACACGTATATGTGTGTGGCTGTACACACACATATGTAGTTGTTTTTTGGTGTTTGGCGTAGTGTTATGTTAGAATCATTATTATACTTTATTTATTTTGTTTTCATTTAAATGTTTAGTTTTGAAATGTTGTTGTATGCATTTGTCATTTTTATTGAATTAATTTTATTTTTTTAAATGTGTGTGTATATATATATATATATATATATATATATAGTATTTATAGAGTTTTAGTTTTTAGTTTTAATTACTTTTTCTTATTTGTAAGTCGTTTTGGATAAAAGCGTCTGCTGAATGACTAAAAGTAAAGTAAAAAAAGTATTGCCTTTATTTTCACAGTATTTATTTAGGCAGTTTTGCTGTACAGTTCAATAATTTTTTTAATCAGCATGAATTAAAGTCAACAGTCAACACAAATACTGCTATGATATAAATAATAATAATACAATTATTTTAATAATATGACTAATTCCATATTTAAATAGTATTTAAAAGTTAAATGGTATACTATTTATTTTTGCCTTAAAATAATGCCAGGGTGCATGAACTATTTATGCTTAATGATCATGAAAATACTCAAAATCCATGAATAATAATTATTTTGCTAAATGTTAAAAGATCATTGGAGCCTTCATGCATCTCTCTTTCAACATTTTGTCTGTTGAAAGGGTTTAAATCACTATAATGTCAAAACTAAAATAATAAATAAATCCATTATAATGACATTGGTATGCAACACTAAAATAGTGCTTTACTGCTGACCTCTAGAACCATAAATATTTTTTCCACTTTTATTTAAATTATTATTATTTAAAAAATAATACCTAATATTAATAATTATAAATATATTATGTATTAAATTAATAAATGAAAAGTGTTTATGAATGACACTTAAAATGTGTTCTGTTATATATTTTGACATTATTTAAAATTATATATATATAATATATTTATTTATTTATAATACAAAAAATATATATATATATGTATATTCAATCTTAGTCTTGACAGCTCTATCCAGAAGTTGTGGAAACACACTTCCTTCTCAGCCTACACGTCCCATAGTGCACCGGGCGTCCACCCCCATCAGCGCTTTCCCTCTTCTCGCAGCCTGAGTTTCTGTCTATCGGTGTTGTTGTTGATGCGATGATGGCGGCAGCGGGATGCGGATCAGCAACCGCGGCTGCCGTTGTGGGCGCGGCGCGGGGTCGCTTCCCCGGTCGGCCTTGGTCGTCGCGGAGCCGTTTGCGTTCGGAGAAGCGATGGCAGCTCGGCCGCTCAGGGACAGATCTTGACGAGATCTCCTCCAACGGAGGCCCGAGGCCCACCTGCCTGGTGCTCGCGCTGAACGAGGACCAGTCTCACTTGCGCCTTCTCGGGCTTGAGGAGAGCTACAAGAGCCTGGGAGAGGCTGGATACAGCTCGAGTGGGAGCGAAGAGGTGAGTGCATGGGCCGATCTGTCGTTTTTCACAGCAGTATTCAAATGCACCAGTGTGCGCTTGTTTTACGTGACTGTGTTTCATAGGAAGGAGGAAGAATACAAGTAGCGCGAGCGCAGTGTCTGCCATGTAGCGTTACATTAAAACACGGAGGGGGAGGGGGGCAATTACTGTAGCATTGTAGCTTATAGCTGAATGAGGGTCAGAGATCATGCAGTTTGATTTTTTTTGTTTCATTCCTACAGTTATAAGTTGCATCTAAACGCTACTGTATGCGTTATCTGTTTCTTTTTGGACATATTATTTTTATTTCTATGCATACATTACACTAGTTGCAACACCCCGTTTGCTGGACTTGATTCTTGTGACAGATTGCTGGTAAGCGCATTCAGTGCTTGATCACCTGCAGTGAAGAACAGTTATATTAGTTTGATGCTTGAGACAATACATATGTATATAAACAGTGACTTTATCAATGCAAAGCTGACACTAACTTTTACTGTGTTACTTACTTAGGTTTTATCTTAACATGTCAGCCTAAATCCAGTGGATTTATTTCTTATTTAATATGCATCTTCTTTTATTCCATTGTGATGCGTATTAGCCTGTCCCTAATCAGTGTTTCTAAATTCCCTTGTGTGTTAGCAACACATGGTGTAAATGCGTATTTTTATTGCAAACCATATGTAGAAATAACATCTAACATGTTTTATTCTGTCTGTCTCTCAACATATTTATATTTTAGTTGGTGTAATATTTGACTGGTTATTTATCAGTCTAGTTAGCTTCATAACCATCATAAACTGCTTTGAGGTTCTATAAATGTTCGTGATGACATCATCATCATCATCCTGTTCAGATGTGAACTTTATCACATACGTTTTGTTAGCTTTGTCGGTAGGCAACTATTTTAATTGAAATGCTCAGCCCTGTAACTATGGTTTTGTGCAGTAAACGACTGATAATCGAAAGCAACATTGGCTTTTTTTTGTAGCATCATGACCTTGAGCACAAAGCTAATAAAGAACGACAACGTTGTCAAACCTGTTACATTTGTGACGGCTTAGCTATATTATATCAACATATAGGTCTATTAAATGTTGGGATTTTAATGTGAGATTTTTCAAAATGTTAAAGGGATCATCATCAAAATTCCCTCGATCTTTTGGCATATAAGAGGTCATTGTACTATAAAAACATCCCATAAGATTCACTGCTCAAAACTTTGTTAATCCAAAAACAGCTTATATTGAAGCCAATCTGCCAAAATGACCGCTTGTGGAATGTGCCGCTCTATGATGTAGTAGTGTGGCCTAAACCCCACAAAAAGCACTGCCTGTTTAGCTCCGCCCACCGTTTCACGCATGTAAGTGAATAACGAGAGAGACAAACGCAGGTCTACGCAGAAACCAAACGATAAAGATGGCTCCGAAGTAGTGCTGGTACATATACCGGTACATACCGAATACCGGTTTTTATTTTTGTTATGATAGGAATTTTGAAAATACCGCAGTAACGGTATATGTCACTTAAACAACATTCGGAATGAAAGTTTGAAAGGGGTGTTGCACTGTGGTGAGGGCACAGCTGTATGTGTTACTAAGCGTGAAAGTTCCGAAACTGAAGCTGTAGAACTAATAGAACGTGATGTCACAGAAGAACTCATCCACAATATCCACACTGACCTCCACAAATATCCACCGCCCCCTGCCATCAGCTCCCGCGTCTCACACACACACACAAGCCTGACTTTAGCACTAGATTTAGCAACTTTCAGACCCTTTTAGCGGCTTTTT